TAAATGTCAGATAATGTAGAATACTTTATTTTCGCTGAAGGGATGATTCCGTGAAAATAAAATCCAGCGAATATACTTTTTTCCTATATTTCACATTAAACTCATCAAAAATCAGTGAAAATAAATTCCATACAAAACACCCAAAAAGCTGTTTCAGCGAAAATTAATTCCAGCGAAAATAAAGTATTTTACAGTAGTTGATATAATCAAAAACTTGTATTTTGTATTTGACAAACAGTTCATTTGAAAAAACATTTTTAGCTCCGCTGTCGACTTTGGCGAGCGGCGCTTATCATATGAGTGATTGTCCGTCGTCTGTCGTCCGTGTCAATGTTTTACTTTTTTGACTTCTTGAAAACTACGAGCCTGAATGTTTTGATACTTGGTGTATATGTACCTTGGGTAGACCTCTCTCAGATTTGTTCATTTCATGATCATATCTTCAATTCTTTAATTTGGGTGAATATTTTTGTCATTTTTGGTAAAAAATGATATTTTCGACTTCTTGTTAAAAACCGCAAGTGCAATTGCTTTGATATTACATATATAGGTGCTACATGTGGACCTCTCTCAGATTTGTTCATTTTGTAATGATATCTTCAATTCTCTAATTTTGGTGAATATTTTTGTCATTTTTGGTAAAAAGTGATATTTTCAACTTCTTGTTAAAAACCGCAAGTCCAATTGCATTGATATTACATATATAGGTGCTACATGTGGACCTCTCTCAGATTTGTTCATTTTGTAATGATATTTTTAATTTTGGTGAATATTTTTGTAATTTTTGGTAAAAAGTGATATTTTCAACTTCTTGTTAAAAACCGCAACTCCAATTGCTTTGATATTACATATATAGGTACTACATGGTGACCCCTCTAAGATTTGTTCATTTTGTAATGATATCTTTAATTCTCTAATTTTGATGAATATTTTTGGTAAAAAGTGATATTTTCGACTTCTTGTTAAAAACCACAATCATTTATGGTGAAAAATGATATTTTTGAATTCTTGTTGAAAACAGCAAGTCCCATAGCATTGATACTATGCATATTTTTCATTTTCTAATGATATTTTCTGTTATTTAATTGAAATGTGCATTGCTAACAGCGGAGCTATCTCAGCCGAGAGGCTGCTTGTTCTAATTTTGCTATTTTAAGAAAAATTTGCTAAATTAAATTTATGTGAAAATTTAAAATACCAATAAAACTCATTATTTCCTTGACAAATCCGCGAAATTAAAACACAATCAATATGCTCAAAACTGAAAATAGTGAAATTAAATGTCAGTAAAAATAAATGGTTTTACAGTAGGCTTTCAGTGGGCAAAGCTGTAATAGTTACTCTATGTTTTACTAAATGTTTATTTATAGGTGCTAGAATGTTGACAACAGTAGCTGTTATTAAACCTGATGCATTGCGTAAACATCTTGGAAAGATACTCAAAAGAATATGTCAAGAAGGATTTAATGTTGTTGGTATGAGATTAGATCTCTTGACTGAAGATGAAGCCAAATTATTGATTCCTAAGAGTGATCTACCGGTTAGTTTATTCCCACTGTACTGTACTGTTAAATGAACCTGTCTTAAATGCTAATGGTAGACTGCTGTTCCTGTCCTCAGTGCATATTAAAAATAACTGTATCATTTAGATGCCAACAAATGAACATATTCTGAATTGTATGTATTAATTTATTGGCAGAATGAAGTATTATGTAAGATGCATTGTGATTACCTAACATCAGGAGCAGTGTTGATATTATGTTTACAACGAGAAAATGCTGTCAAGAAACTATTAGATTTAATGGGACCATCCAATCCGCAGGAAGCAAAGAAGATGAATCAATTCTTGTGGAGAAGTTTGTTTGGTGTTGATCCAATCAACAATGGACTATATGGTATGTAGGCTTTATATGGCATCACAGTTTATTGACTGCTGCATGAAAAAATGTAATCCTCTCTGTTTTGAAAGCAACAACTTGATAACTCACAGGGGTTGTGTTACTTGTTTGGACTGGATTTCAGACATTGATAAATGGATTTTGTTCAAAGTAGACATATAAAATTAAGCATATGATAAAGTGTCTATTGATATGTGAATACACACTGCATCAATTGATATTAAAAAAATGTGTATAGATATATATATATATATATATATATATATCAGGGTTCTCCACGGTTTGAAAATTAAACAGGGCGCGCCAATGTGAAGTGGGCGTGGCACATTTGTAACGTGCATCATTGGCAAGGATGTTGAAAAATAGAAACCAAAAAATCTATTAATCTACATATTATTACATATGCATAATATATATTTATTATTACAAAATGAATAGGAATTTTGAAGAGCTATTATTAAGTAAACGTCAGCACGTACAATCAGCTGATTTTAGCTGCACGATTCCTCAAGCGGCGACATCAGTTGTTTACAAGTAATGATCGCGTCCAGAAAAAAACGTAACAAGTTTGTTAATTTATTTTCCCAAATAGATACATACATGCTTTATTTAATTATTAGCAAAAATTTATATTGATGATTATATTTTATTTTATTTTATATATTTTATTTTGCTTCGTCCAAATAAATATATGTCGCACAAACGTTCGCAATTGGTTCATTAAAAAACTTGCA